ACGCTGTGCTCTAATAATTGAAATGAAATTTTTTTGCTAATTTGGTAAGATAATTAAATAATCATATGGGATAGTGTCAATAGATGTGAAGCTGGAAAAGCACAGCAGGTCAGACAGCATCTGAGGAGCAGGAAAGTCAACATTTCGGGCCAAAACATTTTGTCAGGACTGGGGACGGTGGGGGTGAGCCCAGAAGTAAATAGACAGAGGGGATTGTGGCTGGGGGGGAAGGGTAGGTGGGATGGTGGCAGGTGGATGCAGGTAAGAGGTTATTGTGATTGGTCAGTGGGAAGGGTGGAGCAGATAGGTGAGTGGGAAGATGGATAGGTGAGATCAGGTCAAGGAGGATGGGGAGGGCTGGACATGGGATAAGGCTGGGGTTGGAGGAATTTTGTAGCTGGTAAAGTCAATACTGAGGCCATTGGGCTGCAAGTTCCCAAGGTGAAATATCAGGTGTTGTTCCTCCAGTTTGCGGTTGGCCTCTGGAGGAGGCCAAGGATGGACATGTTGCCAAGGGAGTGTGAGGGGAAATTAAAACGGATGGCAACCGGAAGATCGGGTTGGTTGGTGCGTGCAGAGCAGAGATCCTCTGCAAACTGGTCCCCGAGTCTGCATTCGGTCTCCCCAATATAGAGGAGACCACATCGGGAGTAATGGATGTAATAAATCAGGTTGGATGAAGTGCAGGTGAATCTCTGCCAGATTGGGAAGGATTGTTGGGGCCTTGGACGGAGGTAAGAGGGGAGGTGTGGGGGCAGGTCTTCACCACTTGTGGTTGCAGGGAAAGGTACTGGGTGTGGTGGAGAAGTTGGTGGGGTGTGTAGAGCTGAAGAGGGAGTTGCGGAATGAATGGTCCCTGCGTAAAGCAAACATAGGTGGGAAGGAAATATCTTTTTGGTCGTGGAGTCTGATTGTAGGTATTGGAAATGTCAAAGGATTATGCGTTGGATTTGGAGGTTGGTGGAGTGGTAAGTGAGGACTAAGAGGACTCTATCTTTATTGTTGTTGGGTTTATGAGTAATTGTTTAGATAATTTCCAATTGCCTCTATTCAGTTATTCTGCATTAAAATGATACTGAATGTATTTTTTTTTATGCTGTACAATTTCCAAGGCCTCAAATTCTTCTGATAAAGCCTTTGACATTTGGGGTTGCCTTTTACATTCCTGCAGATCTCCCTGGGCAATGTGCTGTTTTCTGACCAAGAAGGAGTTAACAGATGAGCTGCTACCTGACTCCAGTA